GGTTGGGGTTGGTTTTCTGGGAAAAGTATATTGCGGGGCAGGGAAACTATTTTTGCCACAACTACAGGGAATACGTTTGAAAGAAGGGAAGGGATCCCCTTAAATGGAGGTTATAATGTGGAACCTTCTATGAATTAGCTTATCCGTGCTGAAGATCAGTGCACTTCGGAATAAACATATCATCGTGGAACCATCGAAGTTGGAACTATCCACCCCCTTGACAGGTACAATCAAGTATGCTATCCATAGAGCATACCAGCAGGCATTTGCATTCTTGTAGGAATTTCCTGTACTTTGACAAACTGTCTTGCGATTCGCATTTGCCACGAATATATCCTACTCCAGAAGGACATCCAAAATGTAATTTACAGATATCCTGTGGTATTTACTGCACAATAATGCAAATTACCCTATCATCTATGTACACATGAACATGATGATAATGATAATGATGATGATGAGAGGCAGATTGGAGCTCTGGAGGTGCCTTTTGCACCTCTTTTTTTTGTGGGTGCTGTTTCTTTTGCAGGTGAACAAATGTCTTTACAGCTCTTCTCTCTGTGTCTTTTTCCTTTCGAGCTCTTTCTTTTGCTGCTTTCATGTTGTTTGCAAGTCAACAGAGCTTTGCACAGTTAGCCCCTCATCTCCATCACCATTCCATCCACCGACATCATCGCACTCCTTGACTTGTGTCAATATTGACGCAGACCTTATCTCGCTTTATGACATATTCCGCTTTTTTTTTTTTGTATTTTATTATTTTTATTTGTTTATATTTTTGTTGTTCTTGTTTTGGCTACTGTCAGCTCGCGCTCACTCTGGCATTTCTGGGCGGTTTTTGTTTGCAGCCTCCCTGGCCCTGGTCTCGTGGTCGCAACTCGCGGTGTCTGGCAGGGTACATTAGCTGGAAGGTAAGGCCACGGCAAATCTGTAATTAACAATGTACATTGTACATTAATATGTACTAGTTTGTGCGACTTAAGAAAAAACGTCACTCGAAAATCCCTCTGTTGGCTGAACTTTGTTTGGTTTTTGTTTGTTGTACTTTGATGTCTGTGCTTTTGGTTTAGATGTGCCCTCACGCCCTCTCTATCTGCATTTGCATGTGTGAGTTCTGTCTCACTCTATCTGGGTTAGTGGGTAATGCAGTGGGAAAATCCGTGCTCCTCTGAGGTAAATTTATGGCCCAAGAAGATGTCTTAATGACGTGGGAGAGAGTTTGGCGGAGAGACTCTACAGAGAGAAGGTGGAAAACGTACGAGAGCTGGGAACCCAAATCGATCGCATTGGCATTATAGACTGGTAGCCGTGTTGACCGCCCACAAGTTCAGCCATGAATATACCCTATAAATGTAAATATTCTGAGAGTTTAATGTTTGGGCAGATCATTTTGGATGGTAGTTATGGATTAATGGATGATTTATCATCGTAAGTGGAATCTGAACTGTCTGTGGAGCAAACTGCTGCTTTAGCCAATGCAATTTTTACTTTAAAATTCAACTTGCTGTACGAAAAGAGTATTCCAACTTCATGAATTGTCACACTCTTAAGGGGCTTTTCCCCGCTGCGTTGTTTTTTGGGTGGCACTTGATGAGTGGAACGCAAACTGAATCGGAAAAGTGAACGAGGGAATCTAAGCCCATAAATAAAGGCAATTGGCCAGTTTCTCATGTGGTTCGGTTGTTTGTTATGGGTGGGGGTGCAAAGTCCGCAGACAGTTCTTGGAAGACGGGCGACAGTTCCATCACCCAACGCCACACCAGGCGGGGAGGAGTTGTCATGGATTGACAGGTTCCCTGCCACATTGTAAGTGGCAAGGCAAAGTGGCAATACGGTAGGCAAATCACGTGATCCACTGACTCTACGCTGACAGTTTTAGGTGTTTGAACGAAACGAAACGATAGATAGGGTCGAAGGGGGGGGGATTGGAATTCCAAATGACTCACGTGGAAGAGCAATCAAAGTCAAAGGATCTGTCTGTTGGTTGAGCATTCGTGAAAGTATTCAATTACGAATTAATCAATGTGGAAGTAAGACCTGACCTCGGACTTCAACCTGATCTGGCAGAGCCGGGGATGGGATGTGTTTCCGCCAGTGGCGATGATCGATTTGCCAGACAAATTGCGCTAAAGCCAAAGAAACACCGCAGAAAACGACATGGGAATGACAGCTACCGAGCTGGCTGGTGGAAACCCTAGAAGTGTACATGGAAATCATGAGTAATTCCTCACGATCATGTGCCCCTGCCCCTGCCGCTGCCACTGGCTCTGTAGCTGTGCCTGTGCCTGTCCTTCCTTGGAGCTTGCTTGTGTATCGTATATCGCATTTCAATGACGCGACCACATTCCGCTCTGCGCTTTGCAAGGTTTCCAAAACATATAGATTTCCGTGATATTCCTACACTTGGCATTGTTCCAATGGCACGCTCTCCCAGCCGGCAGCACCCGCTCCTGGCCACCAGCTATTTGATTTGATTTCTGCTTTGGTTTTTCTTGTGGTCAAACTACCTAAACGGGCGCCTAATGTAATCCAATATTAACTCAATTTCATTAAAGTTGAGGCAAACATTTTGACATAATGGGGCACCCAAGGAAAGGGTGGGCAGGGGGTAGGGACCACAGCAATAGCAACATTTCCGCTGTCTCGTGGGTGGGAGGAAGTGCCGACAAAGCGTCGCGTCGCGTCGCGTCGCGTTGAAGCGGCCACGTTCCAATCTTGTCAATAAATCTCAATATCAAAAAAAATATGCTAAATGACCACCCGTATGAATACGTATCTACAAGAGAGTATATCTATGAGATATGTTTGGATATGTATGAGCAAAGACAATAGCAAAAAATGCAAATAACTGCACGAAGTTGTATCTGTGAGATACGCGCGCATAAATTTACAAGCTATGGTCTGGCCTGGCCTGGCCTGGCTTTGCCTGGGGATAGGATAGTATTGGGATAGCATATGCCGCCTGCCACATGCGGGAGAGCGGCCACAGTGCGGCTAGAGGTTTAAATGCCGCAAACAATGAACCGTGTTGACAGGTCTCCGTTTCCAAGTCTTTTGTATGATTGATTTAACCTGAATCGACTGACAGGTACGACAGCGACAGCGGCAGAAACGAGTCCAGGCCATGGATATCCATATCCAAAAGATATGCTCGCCTCTGGTATGGAAATCCACAAAAGATACTCTCATGTGCTGCTTGCTTATTATATGCTAACGACAATCCAATGGATGTCGATAGTGGGGGTCTTTGTGTAGAGTGAAATTCAAAACGATCGACAAAGACAAAAGTTATGTATGTATGTGCATCCGTGCATATGTGGCATGCATCGTACTCCACGCGTATCTGGAAAATGTGTGCGGCATGAATATGCAATGCAAAGGAATGTGTGTCGATGCTTGGTATTTGGATTAAAGCTCTAACAAAAGAGAGAGAGATCCATCATTCAAGCTTGAGTTGTAGAACTTTTACCGTTTGCGCTGCTCATTAAATTAAAGAAAATACAACAACAGATACGCATAATTATGGAGGAGACTGTGCCGCAGTCTAAAAGAAAGAGAGGGACAACGCTTATGAATATCAAGCGAGAGACGCATGACAACCGCAACTGAACGTTTGATGGAAAGAATGAGCGAATGATTGACAGATGAATGATTTAATGAGCAACAAGATAAACGATGCCACCACCAGTGTCGCTATCTCTTTCTATATCTCCTCCTGCTTATCTCTCTCTCTCCTCCTCACTCTCTCTTGCGCACTGTGGAGACCGCATCGAAATGAATTACTTATTTTTCATTTGAATTTAAATTGTATTTCCCCAGCACTCGCCACAGTCTAGCTATTGTTACAGTTGTAATGCGGCGGGCCATAAAAGATGCTTATCTCTCCCTCTTCCTGGCACTCACCTCTTCTCCTGGTTTGTCTGATGGGTTTGGGGGACGCAGTTTTGCGGCATTTTCTTGCTCTGTCATGGCCACCGACAGATGCGGCTGCCCGATGCCCGATGCCCGATGACGACCACGCATTTTGTGTCAACTCGGGAGGGATCCTCCTGCCCTTCTCTCTTGGTGGTATCTTAGCTTGGGGCATCTTTCTTTTTGGCCATATCTGTTTGTGTGAATCGAATTTGGTAGACCAAAAACGTTAGAACAGGTGTTGGTTTGTGCTGAGGTATCTTTTATATGCACTGCGAGTATCTTTTCTTCTGCTGAGCTCAGCATTTCGATGCATAAATCGTTACACCAGCAATGAAATGTTGTAAAAACTTAATAAATGCAGTTACTAACTACTAATAGAGCTTCAAAATAGAAGATTTAGCTGATAATCCATATCATAATTAGATTTATTCTCAATATTCCTGTATGTCTGTGCATACTTGATCCTTGATTTCTGCGAATAATATCTCTTATTTATTCTATAACCCATATTCAACTTTATGTACCATTGTCTTCTCAATTTTCTCATTACCCTTTTCTTCTCAATTTGATTACCAACATTTCTCTCTGACTGTCGAATGAATACACTCGTATGCCGCCTTCGTCTGATTTTAACTGGTGTTTAATTTTCCATTAAATGTCTTTACACATAATTAAATTCGCCGCGCCATTTAAATACACATCTTCCCATCGGCGCAACAATTGCATTCGAGGCTTTTCATTTCTTTATACATTTTCCCCCCATACCCCGTGTGTCTGTTCATTTTTATGTCGTTTGCGTTTGCGTGAGAGATCTCTGGGGAGAGCCAAGGGCCAGCCAGCCACTTGTCGATGCTCAATGCCCACACAGCCCTCACACACTCACGCAGTCATTCATTTCATTCATTCGTTCGGTTGTTCGCTCATTCGAATATAATTTATGTATCGGTGGAATAATGTTTTATGATCTTCACATGTGATTTGGAACTTGCTGGCGGCTGCTACCTGGGAACTGTGGGAGGGAGTAGGGAGCAGTGGAGATCTCTGCTTTCTGGCTCTCTGTGTGGGCTTTGAGTTCGTTTTCACATTTGTCTCAATATATCCGGGGGGAAACTTCAAATTCTATTACGAAAAGTTAATTTCAAAAATTGTGCTGTCTCTGGGGGACACACATACAAAATTGCAGAAAAAATGCCCAGAAGATGTTTACCAAAATTATACGTAAATATGGCAATGTGTATCTGAAGCACGGGTATCCAATCCATACCAGTGGGGCACCACAGCGACCACTGCACAATTGGGACCGGCGGAATGCGGAGCACGAACAGCGACGGAAGGCCATACCAAAGCTGGTGTATCTGCACAATCCGTGGAAGTATCTGATGACCAAATTCAATCTGTGGAAACTCAAGTTGCTGTGGGATCCGAAATTCTCTGAATCGGAATTCATCGAGGGCTCCAAGCAGGCGGCCATCGTCATGACGGACACCATTCGGCTGCAGAGCTCCGAGAAGATCAGCGAGTACACGACGCCGGTCGGCTTCCAGCAGATCACCCGCGACATGCTGCTCTCCCGCGACGACAGTCGGCTGCAGTTGGTCCGCTTCCAGAAGGAGCACCTGCGTCGCGCCATCCCCATGAAGGTGGCGCGCCGCCAGAACTTTGGGCGGAAGTACGCCTTCATCGATATGCTCTTTGTGGGGCTGCGCAACACTAGGGACTTTGAGTCCCCATCGGAGGTGGTGCAGATAAACGAGATCCTGCGGCGGATGGACAACGAGCTCAAGACCCCTCCTCATGCGCTCTCCGTGCCGCATCGCATTGTCTTTGCCGAGATTTTCATACGCTTTCGGCGTGACTACACCGCGGAGGCCAGGCGCACCTTGGAGGCACAGCATCCTATGGCACCACCGGGCTACCCCTTCACCAAACAGTTAAATTTTCCATTCTCTCCGCAAGCGGCGCTCTCAAAAGGTATCGACCCACAGTCAGAGGACCCGCCACTAAAACCACAAACAGCACAGGCGCTGAAGACGGGATCCATCCAGAATCTGCCACGCTCGGACGATCCCGGCTGGTCGGTGTCCTTCTATAAGATCCTTACCTTCGATGTGCTGAACTATGATCCAGAGCGCAAGAGTAAAAGCTAGCATAGAGCCACCAATTGGCAGATCTCTTGCTCGGAAGGATTTCACTTGGTGTAGTTTGAATAAAGCCCAGCCCAAGGTCTTTGCTACCGTTGCCAAAGCTACAATTTGTTTTGAACAATTTTAAGCGATAGCCCAGCCCTAGCTTTATCTATTGCCACGAGGCACACTCTTTTTGCCCGAAATTCACACCTTCTTTGGAGGTGTTGTAGGTGTGTGGGAGTGCGCAATAAACACAGAAAATATTTGTATACAATATAATGTTGTAATGAGGCATATTACACGATTCGATCTTGTTGTCTGATGTGTGTGTGTGTTGTCGTTACATTTGTCATTTGGCTCTAATTGATTTTCAAAACATGGTCATATGAGGGCTTTGGGGCTTGGAGCTTCGGTTTTTGGGGCTTGGAACTTGAGGGCTTGAGGGGCTTGGCCTTGGCATGACCCAATCCATTTAAATATATTCAAAATGATTGGAAATGTGTACATTGAAGAAAATAACATGCCTAAATATGTACGTAGACAAATATGCATGTCATTTAATGTTTTTTCTTCGTGCCTAACACATTTTTGCATAATTCGAACATGTTAAATGGTTTTTAGATGTTGACTTTGAAGGTGGTCTCTGTGTATCACAACTCCCGTCTCAGATCCGAATTCGAAATGCAATTAAAATGTGGCAAGAGCAGGGAAATTATTCAACAAATTATGCTGATGTTTGTCAGCACAGGTAAAAACATGTTAGATTCATGTTTATAAGTATCCATTAGATGGAAAACATGAGCACTAATTGGATGTGGAGCAAACGAATAAAAGCTGTGAGATTTGGCTTCAGCTGAGGGAGATTCAAAGTGCATATAATACATAAAAGATAAGCACAAATTAACTAATATTGATTGATCATCTCACATTTTCGTTATAAAGATATTCTCACAATCTCTCCTACAAAGCAGCGCATCTCTTTTTTCCAATTAGTTGTCTATGCCAGGCATTTGAGAGCTATTTGCTCAAGAACCAAATCGCAAAGAAAATAATCCCTGAAATTTACTTTGCGAGGACACTAAAGCGACAGCAGGGGTGAAGCAGGAGAGAAGCAGCAAAATAACAAGAGCCCGTGAAAAGGAAAGAAATAATTTAAATAAAGAAAACACAAAGCAGCTGTTGCACTTCCGATCCGAAGATGGAAATATGCCAAGGCCCCAATGTAGGGGAGGAGGGGCAGAGAGGGGGATGACAAAGACCAACACTAAGGCAGTTACATGTACAAAAGCGAAAAGGGATAATCTGTTTATAATGAAACGCAAGTTATGCAACACGCAGCGCAGCCGGCTGACGCTGGATGGCGCCACTCAAGGCGTCACTCAAATGTCGCCCGCGTGCAGCTTAGGAGGCGCCACGCGCCACACGCCGCACACCACCCGCTGCCCACCAGCAAATGGGAAAATGAAGGAAAAAAGTCCAGCTGAAGGATTATGAGAAGGAAACCAACCCATAGACACAGCTGGCAGTCCCACAGCTATTCCATTCCTTCACGAAACTCCGACTTGGACTCAAAGCTGACATGCAAACACAGTGGCGGGGAAACAGAGAGGAAACAGAGAGAAATTATAAAAATTTATGTACGCTTTTTCCGTTCGAATTGCGAGGCCCCGGACGCTGGATGCTGGACCCTGGATTGGTGTCCCGACTTCAATCTCAGCAGCAGACAGACTGCTGGCTGGCTTCTTCTGGCTGTCGGGATTTGTTGTCCATTTCTAAAATGCCAGCTGGCAAATGTTGGGGCTGCAGCGCTCTGCCCATAAATAAAACTCGAGGCATACCAGAAATATTAAGCTACCTAGACAAGGACGTTAGTGTGAATACACTTATTGTGATCCATTTTGAGTACTGCATCTGCCCTTATCGAATGTATTCGGTGCAAGCAGTTGAGTAATTTCTTATTAAACACACAAAAAAAGTTGTGAATAACCTTTGGACGTTTGATTAAATTCGTAATCTTTCAACTGATCTTAATAATTCTGAGAAAAGTTCCCACAAAACTCAAACACCGTGAAAATACTTTGTTCCACTCCACTCCACTCCTTCCTCAACCTTGGCAAAAGAGGCTAAAAATTAATTAGACAATCCGTAAAAGCGGCTTAATTTTCAAACTCATTTGCAAATATTTACAAAACACACAACACAAATTGAAGGGATCCCCGGTCTGATGATGAACAGAACCCTTTTGTCGAACCCAAATCCGGATCGAAATTGGGATCCCGCCGCCGTCGTTCTGTGTAACAGGTGTACCCCCCGCCCCAATCTACCAGTTCGCACACCTCCCACTTTTTTTCGAAGCGCTTTTTCTTTTCATTTTCCACCCAAAGAGATTAATTACAAGTCTGGCGTAATGAGAGGATTTCCGGTGCGCAGGATTTTGTAACCTTCTCTTGGAGGGGGCATAACAGACCGGTCTCCCTCTCCCCGGGCAGCAGCTCATATTTCTTGTGTTTAATAAAATTGAATGAAATTTATGAAATATTTGCGCGATGTGCATAGAAATGCTCGTTGGTAATCGTAGGTGCCACGAGCTGCAGGCGGCAGACCTCCTCCAATCTCTGCTGCCAGCTCTAGACAATTGCCTGCCCCCGACTCGTTGATCTTCATTAGTGGAGCCGCCGTGCCACCGTCACCGTCGTCGTCGTCGTCGTCGTCGTCGTCGTCGTCGCCGGCAAATGTCTTCATAGACACATTCTCAGATTCGCCTCGGACTGTGGCGGCAATGGGGTAGTGGGGGGACCTCTGGACTCTGGGGCTCGGGCCAAAAGCTTTAAATTTATGGCAACGCATTTGCGGCGCTCGCTCTTACAGCCATAACGCCACACGGAGCACAAAACGCGACAACAACAACAACGCCAGCAACAACAAAGTCACGCCTAATAAAGCGTCGGCGGCATGGCATGGACTGGCATGGCATCGCTTGGCCAGGTCTCACTCACTCTCTGTGTCTGTCTGTCTGTCCTTTATTAGTTCATTGCTTGGCCTAGACTCCCCCGCAGGTCCCACTCTTCAGCTAAGTCCACTGCTCTCTTCTTAACGTATCCATTTACACTTGGCCCCGCGGCTCTAAGACCTCCCTGTGCGCGAGACTCGATAGACCAGAGACCCAATTTAAGTAGAGTTGTCCCATAATTTCCAGCGCTAACAAGCCGCAAATAAATGCGGCATTTAGCACAACATTTAAGAGGCCTGACATGTCGCATGGATCGTAGATCAGATCGGGTAGATCATTGTATGAATATTACACAAGAGTTGCAGCAGGAGTTCCAATTGCATTTCGTGTTGCAGTTGTTGGAGTGTCTCTGAGGCAAGTGGCACATAAGTGGAGCGGAATCATGTATCATCAGCTTAGACCTGTATGTAAATGTATATCGATATAAAATGAGTCGACGGGGAAATGGTTTTTAAGTTTAATTTCAATTTATGAACCCTAAACCACAGCTTAAAAATGTAAAATGTATTAAATTTCCCTGATTTAAGTATCATTTAAACTAATCCTAGAGCATTTTGTGTCTTTTAAGGTGGTACGAAAAATGTAAATTACTGAACGAGAATCCAACTAAATATTTGTGATTTCGAAACGATAAAAGCCTATAGAAAGTGGTAAGTGATTGATACAATTATTTTTCTTAATTCTAAATGCTCATACCTATACTATTTATTATCGAATATCTTCGTTTGCTTTACGTTTGGTTGCATTGCCTCACGTTTGGTGCTTTGCAACACTAATTTCAAAACGACTTACTCAGAAGAGCAGGGAACGAGATGTTCTCTGATATTTCTTTTGCTTTTGTTTTCTATCCTTCGTTCCGCCTCTTTATTCGTATTTTTTACCATGCGATTTGCAGCTGTTACTCACAAATTGGCACTATTCACTTTGGCGGTTTTGTTTTGCTTCTTTTTCTTAGCTTCTTGCACGATCTGAGACTATTGTCCTCTCGCTTGTTCTCACTTGCTCAAGCGGTGATCGTGGCAGTACACATAAAACACAAATGAAATTTTAGCGGCACGACGCAAGGGTTTGAGATACAGATTACGAGGAAGAGAGAGAGAAACAATAACAGTTATATTTTGCGTTGCTGAAATCTCAAAGATTTCTGCTTCTGCCTTCGCCTGTGCTGTGCCATAAATTGCGCACTTGGCGCCAAATATTTATTACACTCGGTCTGTGCCGTCTCTCATGCTGCTATTCCAATCCCTTTTCATTCCACTGCCAGTTACTGTCAGTATTTAAGAAAATCTGCATAAATCGAAAATATTTCAACAGAAATAATAACTTTTTGTAAATTTAAAACACATCTTGCCGTGGCCCCAAGGGTGTGGCTGTCGGCCCAAAATGCAGTTGCCGAAAACAAAGTTTAATAATTCAATGAGAAATATGAAAAGGAAATGAACATAATAAACTGTCGACCTAGAGGGTAGAGGATGTTTAATCTTAATGCTTGCAGATTCCTTACATTACCATTCCGTATTCACTGTACTGCCAGCTGACCATTAATATTCCTGAAAATTCTCTGAAAGAGGTGCTGATTGTTTCGTTCAGTGCAGGCGGCTTAAGAAGGCAAAACATTAAATATAACGAAAAGCTAAACTGAAACATAAATAAATCTCGACATTTTATGCACTTTGAAAATAAAAAAAATAAATGCCAAAGCGGGCACACACACAACCACACACACACACAAGCACACTTCCCCGCCATACGCATACAAAGACGCAAAGCTGTTTTGGTGCTCAAAAACTTTTGTTTTTAAAAGTTCTTTATCGATGTAGTATCTACCCTTTTAGCAGAGGGTATAATTGTCTCAACAGATGTTTGTAGCGAAGTTAAGAAATTACCTACGAACCTATGGAATAAATGACTAATATATTTATATATTTAGATGCAAATCTTGATCAAACTCGAGCTCAATTGGATCAGAAAGGGTATCAAAAGCTGCGGCACATGCTGCCCATTCCTTCGTTTCTGGTCTTCGTTGTTGTTTCTGTTTTTATTGTTCGGTTGTTAAACATGCAATTTCTTTTGGTTTTCGCTGCGTTCGATTGCTGTGGCAAGACCATCAGAGTGGGAAAAGGATGTGGCACCAGGAGGGGTGGTGGGGAGTCGTTTGGAGTCTGTCTGAGGCAACAGCAGCTGCAACAACAGCAGAAGCAGCAGCAGCAGCAGCAGCGGCGGCAGCAGCAAGGACAAAAGCCAACAATGGATTATTAGTGGCACTTAAGCAAACACGCGGCCAAGGGTCGCGACTCTGCAGAGTCGGCTGAGGGCAGCAGTGTGGGAGGGAGAGGGGTACGCCCTCAAAGATGTAAGGCATGTGTTTGCGTGTGTTGGTGTTTTGTGTCGCCGCCTGCTGCTGCTGCTGTTGCTCTGTCGTTTATGTCCCTCGTTTTTTGCGGTTCTTGCAGCGTCCCTGATTTATCGCTTAAAATGTGGGCGTTTTTAATTAATTTCCCTGCCTTGTCGTGCCCTGCCCTGCCCTTCTTCGTCTGCTCAAAAACAGCACAGATTTTGAAAAAATTTGTAAAACAATATTTTAAGCCAAAAACGAAAACTTTTGAATTAGTTGAGCAAATATGAACCTGTGAGTAGGATGGGAAGGAGCGGAGGTAACACCTTGTCTGGATAGGTGCCCACAAGTACATACAAGTGGGTCCTTAAAATGGTGCCACAAAGCATTGTGGTTGCGGTTTGCACTTGAGGAAAGTGTGAACAAATCGAATGAGGGTTCTCTGCGGCTTCTACAAGGGAGAAGCAACTCCAAGCCACCGCCCTGCCCTACCATGCCCCTCTGGAAATCACTGAGAAATCATCCCATTACTCGGGAAAAACTTTACCAAATGCACTGCACTCCACTCACACTCACTCTCACTCTCACGCCCACCCAATGGGAATACACAGAGAGAAATAATTGCAATTAGTCGCCTTGCTCTTTCGCACATTTCCCTTGCTCCAGCAAACTTTTCCGTTAACTCTTTCTGGAGCAAACTTTTCGGTTAACTCTCATTTTGACGCGCGCTTTCTCTCTGCTAATTTACTTTCCACTCGAATTTCTAGAAAATAAGATTCCAAAAAGCTTCCCTTCCGAAAAGAGCCAGATAATCTCTCCACGAAAAGGAGTGTCGCGTCCTCATGTTTTTGTCAAATTGCATCAGTTTTCTGTTTCAGAAGATGGCATCACAAAGAAGGGGTTCAACTTTTCCAAGAATTCGCTGATCAATTAGAGGGTTGCGTATACATACAGTTGTATGTATATGTATGTATGTGTATGTAGATAGAGAAAACTAAAGTTAAACACTCACCCGCGCGGCATGAAGGGAGGTGCGGGGCTCCGCTTTGCTTTACAGTAAATTCATTTGGTTGGCTTCCAGTTGCATATTAAAATTACGCGGCAGGAACTTCTCGGCTCGTAATTATGCTCAAAGAATACCGGACCGGGGCACATACATCCCCACACACACACACACACACGGACGGAATGTTGCGCTATTAAATTTCAGTTTGTTGCATGCATAAAGTTCATTATGCGAGGCCACAGCAAACAAACTCTAATTAAACTCGTTTTCCTAATGAGAATTACGCCGCAGCGCTAAAGAAATGTTTTGCAATGGAATGAGATGCCGGACGCCGCAGGGCCACGATCGATAGATTGCGGCAGAGCGCGCGCGCATTTGACTAGAGAATACCAGAAATACCACTCGTAAAACTGCATAAATATCGATACAGTGTTCGGCAACAAAATAAATTTAAATACAAAAGAATATATCAGTTATTTGCCAAGAGAGAGCACGTTTTTGGTTAATTTGGGAATGGAAAATGTCCATTTTGTGTGGTAGCGATGTGTGAAAAGTGATTTAATTATTTAAATAGTAGAAATCATTTGGATGTGGTTGTCAAAGGCAGGAAGTTTGCATTTAAAAATACTTTTGGCAATAAATTGCAGTGATAAAAATGTTGGGAAATTTCTTTGAATTTTCGTATTTCTACTTTTCAAACTTTTCAGAAGATCTGTTCAACAATTGGGCAACGCCATTGCGTGTTTACTCTCCTCCCATTAATCTGGCAACCCCATTTCTGTGGAATATTTGTTTCTGTTTCTGTTTTTGCGCTTTCCAGAGTAATTATAGGGTATCCATACACATAAATAAGGCAATATTTCTGCTAGAATTCAAGTGTTCCAAGATATGAAATGTTAATTGATTTACGAGCCCTTCAATAAAACCATAGAAGGCAAGTGGCCAACCCCAAGTGTCGGCTAAAGCTAAAACAAACTAATTTCAGGGCTAGAACCAAGCCAAGCCCCAGGCCTCTGGCGATAAAGAATATTAACGATCCGCAAAAAAGGAGGGAAAACTGGAAGCAGGCCATGGCGATGGCCATGGTGATGGCCATGGGGCATGTGGCATGTGGCATGGAGGAGAGTTCTTCAATTAGTGTAAACACAAACGATGACACTCTTTCTAGCTGCAAAAGTGCCCAGAGTGAAGTGAAGCCAATTTCCAGGGCCACAACTCTGCGCAGACACTTTAATATTTAACGCCCCTGGGAGCCACAATGGAGACAACTCTCTGCAACGACAACGACGACAACGACAACGTATATTCCACGAATATGTTCGTGATCATAAAATTATAATTTATGAACAAGAGAAGAGCACAGGGCCAGGGCCATTGCCAGGGCAAAAGGTTTATCTCATCTTGGGCATCTGCTGGCTCCTTCCCTTCAAGAGAGTGCGGCGCGCACTTCTGGATATGAAGTGCAATGCAGAGATGCCGAGATGCCGATGCCCAGATGCAGATGCAACAACCGACAACGATGACAACGGTGATGGCAATTTTGGAGCGCGGCTCGCGTCAATTTGTGAAGAGGAGAAGGGTCCAAACAGACACACACACACACACACACACACTACCACGGCAGTGATAAAGCCAGTGGGGACTGGCAACCAGAATGAGCAACCGAAAGCAGCCAGACACCGATCCAGTGCAAGACTCGGGAGTCCAGTCCCCTTCCATCTCTTCCGTGTGTCTCCAGAACCAGTACCAGAACCAAAGCTGATGTCAGCCACTGCCTCCGTGTCATGGGGGGTGATTGTTGTTGGACTTCCAGGAAAGACGCCTTCGGGGCTTTGGATGGAGTGCGCGCGTACAATATTTTCATATTTATTCAGCCTCGCTTTGGTGCATTGTGCGTTTTGGCAGCCAGATCTTGCCACAGAAACCGCTCCGACTCCAAATCGGACGCGGGACTGCCCATTCCCATTGGTGAGGCAGAAACGTAACTAATTTGCGGTTCTGTTAGTGCAATTTCCTCTCGTTTTTCGAGACCGCTTTTTGTTATTGTTGGTGCCACACGCCCTGCCCCTGCATGGGCACTGGGGATTCTTGAATAAGTTCAGCTTTTTGGGGAACCTTTTGCGGGCCAGCGGCACACACGCATCTCCCTCCGTCCATCCTTCCGTTCCTTCCGGCCACTTTGTTCGGTTTTAGGCAAACATTTTGTTTGGCTTCTGATGGTAGAGCCTTAATTAAATTCTTTTCACTTTTTTCTCTCTCAATCTCTCTGATTGAGGGAATTCACTCTCGTCTGGAAATTAGTTTAGCGAAGAAAGTTTATCAATTAAATGGAAAAATATCCTAGACAACCGTCCAGACAGCAGTGCATTTGATTGGGTTCCTATTCCTATCTACTTTGATGGTCACATTTCAAAGAATATTTTATTTCTGATTAGATTTTAGCATTTAAGAAACATTTTTGTCAGCATTTGTTTGGTTTCGTGGATTTTAATTTGTAACTAAAAGAGCGAAGCATCGTTGATTGTAGTTTTAAGCAAATTCTTATAGTATTTCCAATCATCCACTGCAATCTGTATTGTAAGGAGCTTCAAGTTTCAAGGCAGAACCATCTTTGTGCCTGCCCATCTGTTGGCCCATACATTGATGTCCAGCATGAAGTGGAACCTTCGGCTGTGTCAATGTAAGGAACCTTTTGTTGAGAGCAAAATTAAAAATGATCATGTGGACTGTGTACACTGTGGCCGTAGCCTTCGCTCATTGTTATGGGGGTTTGTGGCCTCTGGGCCGCACTCTGTGGTCTCCCCGTCAGGCATCATAATTCACGCCACAGCGAAGGATATTTGTGCGTGTGTGTGTGTGTGTGTGTGTGTGTGCAGCAGTATCTCGACTACCCATTTATCCTGGCCCCTGCCACAGGGCAATAATTTAAAGCGCGCTCTATTATTTATTTGAGCATATGTCAATGAAATTTATTTATTTATTTACGCCAGCAACAATAAACCCCAAATGTTTGCATATAAAATCGCGAGGATGTTAATGAGCAGAGCAGAGCGTGATGGGTAGGAGAGGGCAGGGTGTATGCATGGTGTATGCATGGTGGCATGTGCCATGAGGCATGAGACAACAACGCGCCGTGCTGCGCTGCTCTGTTGACGTTAATTGACCGCAACAATTTTTTCGCTTTTGCAGTTGCAGTCTGCAGTAAATTTTAATAAAATTGCAGCCATTGCACACGCCTCTAGATATGTATGTGTATGTACAAATAAGTGGACGTGAAAATCCCCTTCCGTCCGCCTGTCTGTGGGATAACTGCCTCAAAGTGCTGATGACATGGCTGTCAACGACACTTCGTGCCGCTTGCCGCATGCCGCACACTCACACGCACAATGGTAATAACCAGACAAAAATTATGAAAATTAAATATAATAAGGAAAATCTATAAAAAAAATATGCGAAATGCAGGTGAAGTGTTAACATGCGCTTGAAAACCTATAGGTTCGATTAAAGATATAGGCTACAGTTCCTCGATTTGGCAGAGATTTTTAAGACTAAGAAATACAAACGATTTTTGAGCGAAGGCCATTAGATACATTTTTATATGTGGAATACATGAGCAAAGGCGCTGGTAGACACAGGAATGACTATTGTAAAAAGGGTATCAGGAGGTGGATAGAGAGCGAGCTTATCACACGGTTCACTGCCCCAGCGTATAATCTATATCTGTGTCTGCCTTTCTGTTCCTTTTATTTCTCTCTCTATCGCTCTCTCTCTCTCTTTCTCTATCCCTGTTGGCATTTTTGATGTTGCTGCATTTATAAATTAATTAAAAATAAATTACTTTATGTTGCCTGTCCAATTTCATTAAAGCTGCCAATGCAACGGCAACAACAGGAGCAGCCACAGCAGTAGCAGCAGCAGCAGCAGCCAACAATAAATAATTATGCAGCGACGACACTGCCACACGGAAGAAGCGAACAAAAGGCAACAAAAGTGGCAAACAGTGCAGGGGTTAAAGGTCCGTGCGCTGCCTTTAAACTGAAGAAGTATCGATATTGGTTTAATTGGGAGCAGCTTCGTTTCTTGAATTAATTCTGTCGGACGTGTCCTTAATTTGTCCCTTCTTCTCTCTGTTTTTTTTGTTTGCATTGAGAGGATCCTCTATTTTAAATCTAAATGCAAGACTATTATTTATCTATGCAACAGGTGAGAGATTTACTTGCCGTTGATAATACCCATGCCTATTTGTATGCATAATGGACATCATGTACATATGCACTCCCTGTGCCACATGCAGATACAGATACAGATACAGATTCCATGGAGTTAATGTCGCATTAAGACGGCAATCCCTGACTCCATTCGCATATAAATCCAGTTGCAGTAGCTTCCCCCTTCCCCACGCAAACCCATATATAATCTGTCCCCAAAAGAGGGTAAAGAGGGGGGTGCACGAGGTGGCTGCTGCTGGCGATGCCGCAGATAAATTTTGCTGTTGTCACACCTTGCAACTTGCATGCACATAAATATATTTCCACCACGAGCCGCCGAAAGGTTGACACTGTCTGCATTTTGTGTGCAACTTCTTTTTTGCTTCATTTTGCCATACAGTAGGTAGGGGAGTGCGGCAGTGTGGAAGGAAAGTAAGATATCACTAGGTAGCAGCAGGGACACCAATGATTTCGTATTCAGATGTGCCCCAGGGCACTGCCCATGCCCATGCCCATGCCAATGCCCCGTGGCCCTACCTTTTGCCAGCAAAATCTTCTCAGCTTTCAGCAGATTGAAAGCGAAATATTATTGAAAGCCGCCACAGAGGAGGCAAAGAGAGAGAGAGAGAGAGAGAGAGAGAGGGGGGGGGGGAGAGTAGAGCGATGTGGCACCTTCTCGGAACTTGCTGCATTTAATTTATTGGCGAATATTTGATGTTCGATTTCCTCTTCGTCCTTCGCTTATCGCCTTGGCATTGACACTTTTACATTTTCTTTTATTTTTGTATTTTGGCAAAGATTGCAGCTTTGTGGAGCTTGTGGAGGCAGTGACTCTGGAGGGGGATACATATACATATACGCCACATGCCACAGGAGATATGTATTTGCTTATCAGCAGAGCAGCACAGACTGGAGCCAAAATATTGGTTTCTCCTTCATTTCCCTTTCACTGTTGATGCATGGGGCAACAGATGGGAGATGGCAGATGGCAGATAAAGTCCACATTCAGGATGGGTTTGAAATGAAATAAATAAGTAAAGGAGTGTAGTATCTGTTAGCTACTGCCTCAAATATGTTCCAAATGCGAAGAAGAAGTAGTTGAGAGTCCTGCAGAAGAAAGAATCCAACTTACAGCCTACTCTTAATCGATCACTAGCAACCAAATCTATATTTAAATGTTATGCCAATTAAACCTGCGATTGCAGATCTATCTTGAAGTTTGCATGAGTTGCTCCTCCCTTGTGCGAGTGGAAGATCCACTTAAGTTGTTGCCACAGAAGAAGCGATTAACTAAGAGTCCAATCTACGTGGAAATCAATTAGCAACTGTCATGATGCTGAAAATCCAGAGCAAGCGGAGCACAGCTCCATAATGCCACACAAGAAGGGACCACACAGCAGGCAGAGGCACTCCTCCTATTCGATTCATCCATCGAGAGAGAGAGAGAGGAGCAAATGAAACCTGGTCACGCACAGCGCCAGAGAGGACCACGGATATACATAGATCCCCAGAGTTATGAAATTATTCAAATGCAGCCCAACATATAAATTCAGGTTAATCCGCACAGCTGGAGGCCAGATGCCTCGGGCCAGGAATTATATCTAGACGATGGTGGTGGGGGAGTTTGGCCCTGAAATCCCCGCCTGTTGATGGGGCGCCAGCTCTTTTAATCATTATTAATTATCCAGGCAGCCACTCCATGGAGTATAAATCATTAGTGTAGGCAAGACGAGGAGGATACCCAATCTATTCCTTGCTGTTTCAGCTGAAAATAGGGCCAAGAAATGCGCCTAATTACATGGGAGGAAAGCAAGCTTTCATTTATTTCCACTGATGGCCATTTGGCCATGACTTCCCCTATTCCTTTTTTGCCTTGTCTTCCCCTTTTACTTCGAGTCATCGGTGTCCAGGGCAGCATCCTCCTTGCGCTTGTACAGAACGATCACTTCCGTGGAAGTATTTTGAAATGTGTCCCAATTTTGTAGTACCTTTCGTGCCATCACCTCAGACATCATGAGGTCTTGATTTCTATCCCAGTTCTTGGCCAGCCAATCCATGGCCTCCGCTATGGCAGTGCCCCTGCCAGAGGCGGCGACATGATTGTTATCGGTACAGCTTCCATCCAGTTGTGTGGCATATAGGTACTGTCTGTTGTTCTCCTGGGCAGCGAGCAGCACTGGATCCGTCGTAATGTCCGGATATAACTGCCACAGCAGCTCCTGGGCTTTCTTTATGGGTATCTTTAGGTTTTGGTTGAGGTATTGCGCTGCCAATTTGATTTTAATCTCCGCAAAGATGTCTCCAGCGAGGGCGCGAGCACAGCAACTGCAAAGGGGGAAGAGGTCTCTGATTAGTGGGCATTTCTATGGATAGCTATGTCCATTCTCTTACTAAATGTGATCACCCAAATGGTACAACGAATACTCGTGCGATCGCATGGCGAGTGTGATGCCATAGTCACAAGTGATTCCCACCATGCAAATATCTCCGGTTCTGTGAAAACGAAGGATTTTCAAAGGGGTTTCAATCTGTGGGATCTATTTGCTTACCTCGTCATCTGTCAATTGTGTTTTCTCAAGGTGATCAACTGGAAAGGTCTTCGGACAAATGAGCTGTGAAGAATATTCAAATTTAATCCAATTAGCCACTTGAAAAAGACGCCCCAGAGAGAGAGAGAGAGAGAGAGTGTAAGCGATAGCCCAAGCGATACAAGGCCCCAAAAACTAGACCCACAAAGAAAACAAACACGGGGCGACCCCGACTCGAGTGTTGAATGTTGGATGATGTTGATGAGGCTATGGTTGAGCAGATTAACGCGAAAAAAAGTGTCACTGGTGTTGGGCTTGGACGCGAATGCGAGTGCGGAGATGGCCAGCATTCAGTGTGGCCAAGACAGTGGGCAATCATGGTCGCGTTGGCCGTAAGCGATATTGGCAGACCGAGGCTGTCTGTCACAAGCGCTTGATGATGATTGCTCTGATGATTCTCCCATAATGATGGCCAAGATGATGATTGCGCGGATGCACAATGCGGTTCGCATTGAATGTGATATTCCCGAGAGGGGATATAAAAACAAAATGCGAAACTCTTGCACCTGGCTATTGGCCCTATAAATAGATGCACAACCAGTTTGCAGAGAATCAAGACCAGAAGGGCCTACTCAAGACCAGAAGTCCAGACAGACACACAATTGTAGCCGAGTATCTCATTAATTCAACGCGACAACTGTCCGAACAGCCTTGTAATCGATGTGTTAATTAGTCCCCGATCCGCGGATCAACTTACCTCAATGAAAATCGGGTGGTATCTATTTCGAAGTGAATGCTCGCATCAATTAGTGGAAACTTCAGATATGCATATGTTTCTCGTCTTTAGGTTTCTGCGGGAATGTGAAATTCACTTGTTGGACTTGTTCAAGTTGGGAAAAAAGTAACAAATAATAATAATAATACAGTGACAGTGTTGCGCAACTGTTTTTTTGCACTATCGATAGCTAGACGAGCGTAAAGCAAAGCTATATTTTTATCTATAAAAACTACTGCAGTGGCACATAAATATTGGCCAATTATTTTAAAATATAAAACATTTTACTTTGCCATCGTGTTAAGCTACAATTTTTCAGTTTCTAAATAAATTTACCCATCGATAGATACGATAGTAAAATATAGTTAGAAGCATCGATACTTCTTCCACCATTTTCGCTACGATAAAGCTGTATTTTTGTCTCTTTTTTTTTAATTTTATCTTTGGAATCCTTACTGTTTTGTGAGTTTTGCTATTTCTGCATGCTGGAGCAGCCTTTAAATGCTCTGGGTGCACTTACGCGGTGGACTGCGTGCGTTACCGCGCCTGGCTGCCAATCTGCTGGTCTCTGCGAGACCCTCACTATGATGTGTTTTGCCTTGAGGCTCCTGCCAGGGGATCTAGTGATCAACTGGGCCACGAAAAGTGTGTATGTGTGATGGTGCCTCCCAGAGGCGTCGTCGAATTAATTAAGCTTGAATACCCGGAATGTGTGGATAAGTGGCAGTATCGCGAAGGGCAGTCAGACCGAATCTACACTTCACACCATTTAGGAGGATATAAAATCGCATCAATTGTCAGTTAAAGTGTTTCTGTTGCTACTCCTGTACTTTGCTTTTGCTAACCAGCAACCAGCAGCCTGCCTCTACCCTCTTTTGACAGACAGAATAATAACACTAGCGTGTGCCTACTCCACCCTTTGTGTGCTGTGCCCTTGCCCGACGTACTCCTTTGTACTTATTATTGTATGCATGTCTGGAATTTAATTTTTTCTGGCATTTACAAAACACTTCAGAGAGTCTCGGTTGCCCCTGCCCATTGCTTTTTGACAAGAGCCAGCGATGACAGCAATTACCATACGATTTGCATGACGTTAATGTTTATTTTTTCAGTTTCGTCTTTTATTTTTTGCTGATTTTGAGCTGGCTTTTGTGTTCTTTATTGGCCCCTGCCTCAGGTTGATTTTGACAGTTGCCCGACTCACTCACTCACTCAGTTGGTTGGCCCCACATTCAATGTTGAATTCGCATTTCGTTAGCTTGTTATCGACCACCTACGGCCATCCAGCCAGACTTGAGGGACAGTCGGCCAGACTGAAAGACAGACCCACAGCGAAGCAATTAAGCTGGCAATCGAAGACAATCCGAAAAGAGGTATTTACAAAAAAAAACGTTCAAAGGGTAAAGAAAACAAGAACAAAACCAAGCGAGTCAATGGTGCTCCTCCAAGCAAATGAAAACAAAACGAAACAAGAGACCCTTGGCAATGTCAAGCGAATCATTCAACTTAAGACAGAATTCTTGTATTTCCAGTAGAAGGAATGGAATGGCATTTGTATACAGAAATTGGTAACGAAAGTAAAGACTTTTGAATCTCGTTTCTGTTCTGGAATAGTTTCAACTCTTAAAGAAGCACCACTCAGCACCACTGATGTACTTTTTGGTGGATGCGACACTTGTAGGACTCCCAAGAGTCCCAATATGGCACATATTCAGGCGGTAGTTTATCTTTAGGAGCAGCTTTCCGGTTGCCTTTTTCCCAGCATATCTCTTCCCAATCGAAGTCAGGAACAAGGCCAGGGCCAGCTTTTATCCCTATCGAATCCTCGTCCCCTAGTCTTAGTGGAACCTTTGGGGCAGATTGCCAGATTTTTGCCTTCAAGTGTTTTCTTTTTTATCAAAATAATCACTTTTGGTTCCTTAATTGTTCGATCCGACGTGACACGACCTTGGAGATGCTACTGATGTGCCGTCCAAAACAAAAGGGAGCCTGGAAATGTAGTCAATTCGATTGAAATTGAATCTCGAGTGGTGATGATGCTCCGCACTCTGATTAAACGCTGATTAATTGGCACGAAATTATTACAGCTTGTTATGTGCGGACTGTAATTTGTGCTCTTCTTTTTATGGCAGTTGCCGCTTAATCAAGTTTATTAAGAAGCCAAGAAGGTGATTTAATCTCGTGGACAGAGTGGCAGATAGTAGGTTGTTCCTTAAAGCAGACACTCGCTGAACAAGTTGGCAGACCTTTCGCATTCCCACGACAGTGGCCATCCTTCAGGTGACTCGCCATGAACCACACACAGATAGACCCAAAGGCAGAGCCGCCAGACAGCCAGGCATAAACCATATTCATTTATTACCGGAGAGAGTGTTGTACAAACATTTAACTATCTTTTCAATATTTCGAATCGCTAAATTGCATAACATATCGCTTTGCAGCGAGCTCCATTTATCAAATTTCAAATGAAAAGAGTTTTGGCCCACCGACTGGGGTGCACCTACGTGCACGTTCCTCCTCCTTTACGGTTCACCTCCTTCTCCTGCGGTTTGAAAAACAAAGTGCAAGCCAAAGTGAATTCCCGTGGAGCGTTTAATCAAAATTTACCGGCGAACGCGTTCGCTGACAATGAGAAATTGCAACAAATTCGCGCTACACCGTCGAAAAAGCAACCTTCTCTCTATCTCTCTCGCTTCATGGCCAAGAGCAAACATGGTCGGAAAGCGTACAGATACAGCGTGGCAGGGTGAAGGGTGTAGTGCACGAGGGGAAAGATGTGGTGTCGATAGCAGCACAAACAAAAGCCAGAAAGAAATGCTCCGATCACGTACCCCAACTGGCGTTTTAGGACCTCTATATGGGGGCTCCCGCTGCTTTGGATGCCTCTCCACTGGATATTGTTTTCCGACACACACCCAACCACACCGCACCACACTCCACACTCTTCTCTTTTTTTATCTGTTGGATTTTTGTTTTGTTTTTCTGGTTGTGGATATGAAAAATGATGCCGAAACAATTTTTACAACCTAAAAGCGGTAGCAGTGAATGGAAGAGGTGCATGCAAAGGAGGAGGCCTAAACCGCCTTCTAACCACTTCAGGAATGGGCTCTCGAAATTGATTGATGGGCACCCGCGATGGGAAAACTGTGTGCACTGCTGCACTGCATATCGGTGGGCGGAAGAGAGAAATGATCATCGGAGTCGTGCAACGTGCAGCCGTGCAGCGGCTGGCCCCAAAATCAATCTGGCTAAACGGTAGCAAATGGGCGTACAGAATGGATTGGCATCCAGTCTGTCTGTCTGTCTGTCTGTCTGTCTGTCTGTCTATCTGTCCGCCTGTGTGTTTGTGTGGGGGCGTTAGAGTTTTGCCGTTTTGCTCGCATTGCCCTGTCCATGGGGATATTGATCGTCAGGTGGGCAGAGATCAAAACGAATGCGTTGGAAAGTGAATGGGATAAAACGGCAAAGAGAATCATTTGCATAGGAAAAGATCAGCTTCGGCTGGAATGGAATGATCTAGAGAGGAAATGAACAGGAAATAATATGGGTACATGAACTTTACAGAGCGAAAATCTGCTACAAAATTAGTTTTCCGTCAAATAAAATTTACAGAATTCGATGAAGACTCCATTAGGTACAACAAATTATCTCTCAAAATTATTTAGTTTTGTGCAATAATAAATGTACGTCTGTACATATTTATTTCCATTGCCAAACACACAAAGAACCCCTGCAAAAATGTATGGCAGGCTATCCTTTCTGTGCTCTGAGTAACTTTCTATTAAAATTGATGAAGAAAATTAAATGCAAAACCGCACATTTAGATGGAAAATCCATGAAAGTCAATGAAAATAAACGGCTTGACCAGCGGAAAAGCGTTAAAGAGCTCCGCCGTCCACAATATGTAGAGCAAATCAGCCTGAAAAACTATTTGCCCGTCCCCTGCTCCTGGTGACTCAACAACAAGAGCGAGAGAGGCGAACATGGCCCAAACCGAAATTGGAAATGTGCCAACTAAAATAAACAGTTATTGAGTTGACTGTTTCGACACTTCCCGCTGCGATAACAAAGAGCGAAGGGGAACAGTGGGAAGTGGATACACACACCTGGTGGGTGGCTGATTGGTTGTAGTGAGTCTTGGACTCTGTGTTTCTGGAGTCGCTCTATTAATTAAATTAAATTTCAATATAAATTCAAATGGGCAAAGCGTGCTCGCTTACGTGTTCTAATTGGGCGGGCGACTGTGCGACTCCGTCAATTAGGGACTCCAATACGCCCGTGTCCCACCCATTGTGTGTGAGCCAAAGCGTAAGTCATGATTGGTGGGTGGGTGGCATGATGGCAGGCGGGAGGAGGGAGGAGGGAGGAGGGAAAACACAGCTGGAACTGGTAGACCTAATTGTTTATTTATGGAAAGGCCTTTGCAGTTGGCAAAACTCTTTATTGTTTTTTTCCTAGCAGTCAGAACTGGTGAGTGGACCTGGGAACTGGACCTGGAACTGGTACTTGGGCTGCAGACATGGCATGGCATTCGTGGAATGGACGGGGGGGGAGAGCCAGTGACTTGGCATCAAATTTCATTAATCACGCAAATGCTTATCGCATAGCTACAGCAGCAGTAGGAGCCACTCTAGGAGCACTCTCCTGTAGGAGCGGCCAGCCGGCAATCGTTGAAAATTCAGCGCTGAAATCGTGGTCATAATTTGTCTGACTTGCTGGAAAAAGCCTTTTTTTGCAACGGCACCAGGCACGGGTGTGAATATGAAAATGCGCCCAGATTGCATGACCAGGCCCAAACCCATCATCATCATCATCGTCATGGCTCTGACCATGTCCAGACGACTACCGGCCACCAACAACTGGACTCCAAGCTTCCTCTTATGCTCACATCCATTCTGCATTTTCTGGGTCCGCTAGCTCGCCTCTGATTATGCCTACAACACACACGTTGTGATGCTTCAATTCTGTGGCAGTTGAGGCAGAAACTGAAGGAGACTCTGGCAGCAGACGGAGGCAGAAAGAAGAGCTCCAGAAAGATGGGGGTCACTGTATCAGCTCTTGTGTGAAAATGCTGTGGGAGGATGCTTGCTGCTCGCTCGAGTGATGTGTAAATCTCTCGCTGTGCTCCGAGGCATTCTTTAGGTGCTGGGATGAGGTGTCAAAAGACTAGAGTTTCCCCAACAGCAGACACGAGCATGGTAGTGTTTGAATGGAGTGAAAGGATGCCCCCGCATCCAGGTGGTCTTTTGATCCCGTTCCCACCTGGCAATCGAATATCCCATTACAATCACTTTGCTTTATGGTGAACTCCGTTCTGCTCCCTCCTCTCTCCGGTCAATTAAGACATTATCCGATGTGACAGTCGTAACTTGTGTCATTTAAGGCGTCACAATGTCTCACTGCAGACGGTATCTGTGTGCTCTATTTATGTATTTTGTTATCTTTTGAAAATATATAAAAAAGACCTGCCGCCAGACAACCTGGCAGACACTTTCTCTGCCCATTCTGTGCCGTTGCTGGCCGCCTCCTTGTCTTGGTCATATTAGCAAGGCAAATTTCCCAAAAGGCACGGCGAAGTGCTGCAGGGGATGGCCAAGGCGATGCGCCAACAAGTATGCAATACAATCTTGAAACTCGAATAACGGAAATAAAAATTATGAGCCAGGAATATTTTATCGCTCGGGGAGGAAATTTGCATAAGAAAAACGTTACGGTGTTTGCAGAGAAAAGAGAGAGAGAGAGAGAGAGAGTAGCCTCAAGATTGGACTTTGAGTCCGTGGAGGGGACAAAATTTGTGTTTTTTTCTTTTTTGTTTACCCTTACCAAGCGAGTATTATGATTTTTAAACGGGTTTTGAAGAGTTCTGCAAATGGGTTTCAAATAGATTTGAGGACTGAGGCGAAGACAGAGCAAGAGCTAAAACTGTGGGCTGTGAAAGTTGAACCCCTTCTGATTTTACACATTTCCTTCAAGCACTCTCATTTCACAATAATCTTTACTAAGGTTCAAGTCAAAAATTACCTATTATAACCAATTTAATCTGTTATGGAGCTCAAAATCAATCTCCATTAAAGTACAAAGTCTTTGAATCTCTGGGCTCGCGAGGTTAAGGTCTAAGAATCACTGAGCTCGCTAGATTAAGGTCTAAGAATCACTGCGCTTTGAATACTACTTGTCCGAATTACAAATGTAATTGATCATTCGCAAATCCGCTTTGATGATGTGCTCACGGTTGAATGCCTTTGCCACAGCCAAGGCCCCATGGATCGCATTCTTGGCATCACCTGCAACACGATTTGCAATAGAGTTGAGTTGTTAAACAGATTGGCATTGTGGAAATTCACTGATTTTCACTTACCAAAGCACATCTTCAGCAATACTTTGGCCAACTCCGGGTCCACAGTAATGTTCGTGTCCACCCTATCATGGAGCAACAGATCCAGCGCCAGCTGGGACCAATTAGTTTTTGGATCATCCTTTGCCTTTTCCATATTGCAGGTTTTTTATTGTTGAACGAGTTTATAAATAACTTTTATGAGTGAAAATTTAGGGATCGGGCCGGGATATCGATGAATGGGGAACACACAGAACAATGTCGATGCATGGTGCAGTGCAATCGATACTTTTGGAACAACTTTAGATTATTAGAAATTATTAGCAAATTATTGAGATTATTATTATATTATATTTAATAATTTAACCTTTGATTCTGTAGAGAATCTACCAAAATAGGTACCTTTTGATTCTATGTTATTTTCAACGATGAAACTTGTAGTAGAACACTATCGATTGTGCGTGTCAGAAACCAAAAACAGCTGACCGCAAACACCGCAAAAATGAGAAATGTGAAAGTTATATTTTGATAAAACAGCTACGAAATTTCTAGAAGTCTTCATTTTAAAAGATTTTATACTTCGTCAAAGAGTATACCAAATTTTGGTATTTGTTCTACTTTTTTTTGTGCAGCAGTTAGGTTGGGGAGCAGCACGTGCCTATTCATAGTATGAAGTTCCTGTAGCTGTGTGTGGCGCCACAGCCTTCATGGTCATGTTCGTTGTTGTTGTTGTTTGGGGGCGTTGTAATTGATAAGTTAATTTACATTTTTATTGAATGGCCAACGCAAATGTTGTGCTCTTTGTTGTCACGAAGGTCAGCGCGGTCCAGCGCCAACAGGAGTTGCTTTGCATATTTTCATTGAGTTGAGTGGAGTGAAGTGGAGTGGAGGAACGGAACTCAGAACACACCCATCCCGACATGGAAATGTGCGAAAAATATAAGGGCCTTTTCTTTGGTCTGTCAAGTTAATAAAACGAATTTGTGGTTTATGTTCCTAACAAGTCGGCCGTGTATAAAGCTCAATTGTGTGTAAAGCCGAAGGCGAAGACTAGGAGCAAATACCAGACGGCAAGCAGTTGATAAATTTGTTAAACTGAATGAATGAAATGGGGATGAATTGAGGTTAGCCAACGAGTTGGAATGAAATGAAACGAATCTATACAACTGTGCCAAATGAAAAAGTCAAGGAATTAAATGAATTGTAAGAAAAAACCAAAAGTAATCACACATGGCAACTAGAAATCAATGGAAAATGTTTCTCATTTGGATAACGACAGAAAAAAAGCACTTTCTAATGAAAAGTTTACCCTGTTAGTTTCAATCAAATTTTGGTACACAAATATTTCTGTACACTTTAATCAGACATTGGATATTTGAATGCCGATACCCGCAGCGAAGGAATCCGCAGGCCCCATATCATCAGGAAGATGGGGTGGTGCCAGAGCAAAACGAGATGACCGGGACCTCGAACGTGAACGAGACCGGGAACGAGACAGGGACAGGGACCACGAACGTGAACCCGACCGCGCCCGTGACCGTAACCGCGACCCCGAAAACAATCCCGGTGGATTATCAACGGAGGGGCGCAGGGAAAACCTCTTTGACCGAACGGTCCGCAAGATGAAAAAGTATAAAACATTTTGTGAATGGGCACTGGTAGCCATAGTCGTTGTATGTTCAATAGTAGCTACGATTGTCTATATTACATATAATGATTGGTTCAAGAAAGGACAGGGAGAAAAGAAATAAAGCAATTTATCAAAAATACCCCAAGGTAATCGATCGATCAGTGCATTGTGTTCATTAATTTTTAAAAATAATAGTTTAGCAACAAACTAAGAACTAAGAAAGAAGGCAGGCTGTACCCAAGATAAATATCTGAAAATAGAACAAAAACAAATGTAGTAGACTGTTAGGTTCTATCAAATTTTGGTACACAAATATTTCTGTACACTTTAATCAGACATTGGATATTGGAATGTCGATACCCGCAGCGAAGGAATCCGCAGGCCCCATATCATCAGGAAGATGGGGTGGTGCCAGAGCAAAACGAGATGACCGGGACCTCGAACGTGAACGAGACCGGGAACGAGACAGGGACAGGGACAGGGACCACGAACGTGAACGTGAACCCGACCGCGCCCGTGACCGTAACCGCGACGGAGAGGAGAGGGAAGACCGCTATGACCGAACGGTCCGCAAGATGAAAAAGTTTGCAACATATTGTGAATGGGCATTCCTAGCCATATTCATTGTAGTTGCAATAGTAGTTTTGATTCTCTATTTTACATGTAAAGATTGTTTCAACAAAGTACTGGGAAAAAATAACTAAATCAATTTATCAAAAATACCCCAAGGTAATCCGATCGATCAGTGCATTGTGTTCATTAATTTTTAAAAATAATATTTTAGCAACAAACTAAGAACTAAGAAAGAAGGCAGGCTGTACCCAAGATAAATCTCTGAAAATAGAACAATAACAAATGTAGTAGACTGTTAGTTTCTATCAAATTTTGGCTTCGATTTACACACATGTAAATTACGTACAAATGATAATACCCGCTGCAACCGAATCCGAAGGCCCTATATCATCAGGGAGAGGGCGTAGCAGAAGGAGAAACGACGACGACGATGATGAAGGCTTTTTCACGGATCTCTGTGCAATATTAAGAGATCATCGGAAAAAGTGTTTAATATTTCTCGCAGTTGTGCTTGTCATATTTATTATATTATTAGTTCTCGCAATTACAGTTCCAGAACTGTTTAATCTGCTAACGAAGAAAAAAAATTATTAAGAGTTACGGTAATTATCAATTGAATTGTGTTCGTAGCACTATAATTTATTTTCGAATATCAGCAAGATGTTTGCAGACTTGGCGGTGGAAGCCGAATCCGTGGACCGCATAGGGTTCGCCTGTTGTTGGTGTCAAAATCGAAGAAATTGCTGCTTTGTCATTTTGTTTGTATTCTGTTTTATATCATTAACATGGCTGTGCGCGTCTTTCAGTATCAGGGGCTGACGAAAGGATTATATAAAACATTAAAAAAAAATATCCACAAAGAGCGAATCTTTCATTATGGAATGCAGTTTTCTCTTGGTTTTTGGCATTGCCTTTGGTTTACTTTTTTTTTTGGCGATTTCGAGGGTCCAGAATCGAATCGGAGTGCATTCGATGTACATATTCCATGTTCCATCGGGCAGTCGTGCATGCAAAGTTAACGAGAATTGATGTTCCATGTTTCGCCAAGGCAAAACAAAGCATAAATTTCTCAGGCGAGATGCTCCAGTGGTTCACTCGTCCACTAGCCCCTCTACCCACCTCCCTGTACCCTTTTTTTCCCCATTTCCAATGCCAGTTGGCAGCTTTTACATGCATTTCGAATGCAACTCTCTCGATATTCGTATCGATGGGGGCCGGGCCGGGCCGGGCCGGGCCCGCTCGCAAGTACATTGTGTAGCCCTTGGCTATCTCCGCACCGAACTTTTGTTGCTGCTCCTTTCACAGACGACGACGATGACGACGCGACGTTGCATAAATTTTCAGTCAACGAATTCAATTTGCGTAACGCATGCGGATGGCATGGCATACACATATACAAACACACACACACACTCATCCACATCCACGATCCACACACGGTGGGGGCAAAATGGTTTTAAGGATGAAAGGCACCGAGTGCATTTTAAAAAGTATTTGTAGTATTTTGCAGCTGGTGGAGAACTTTTTGTTTGGTCTACAGATTGTTTGATTAGCACTTGGTTGCTCCCCCCACACTCGCTCTCGCTCTCGCTCTCGCTTTTGCTTTGTGGGTCAGATTAGAGCAGCGGTCGTGCCTGTGGCTCGTGCATCACGGTGACAACTCTGGCGGACGTCTGGATCTGGCCCAATCAGTGTCGCCTCTAATCCGCTCCCTCCCGCTGCCTTGGGCACCCCGGCTGGCATGGCTGCATGCAAATCACCTCGTTGACTTGTAGCCGCAGTGGGTGGCGACTCCGTTGCCTGTGTCACTTCTGATTTGAGTTGATGAATTGCAGTTTTCTGCAATTGCGTGTGGCAGAAAAGGAGAGCATATCGCAGAGAGCCAGAGCCACAGCCAGAGCCCGCACCTAGATAATCTCTCTTGAGCTGATTACGTGGACAGTGGACAAACAAGGCAGGGCAAGGCAAAGGGGGATGGCTATGGGATGTGTGGCTGCAAAGATGCAACGCTTAGAGGATGTGTTCAACCACATCACGAATGGATCATTTCTTCTCCACTGGAAGATTGTGCAACGTAGTGCCATTTGTAAGGGAAACGGACAAAAAGATTACGAAAACTGTTGCATAGAATGCAAAGGAAAATGCACCAATATACAATGTAACCCCTCTTTGACTTTATTTGAATTTTAAACGAATCAATGACTGTACAAATGATTTTATAAATCAATCATTTGTCTGTGGACAGGATTATAATTAGCACTCGATGGGATTAACGCTGACGTAAAGTTAGAAACAATTTCCAAACTAATATTCAGACCAACATCATTTCGTAATTTCTCATCAAATATTTATTCAGAGATACACATTTCGGTGCAAACAAAAGCTGGGAAAACCCAATTAAATGGCAATCACTACACTGGCATCAGCCAGCGGCGTTTTCTGCTCAATTAGCCGCTGCTCCAAATCGAAATCAATCGCTTCATGCTGCGGCCACTTTGGGCCGCGTCACTGAACGCGGAAGCGAGGCGGAGAGGGAGGAGACACTATGCCACTGTGCCAGTTGCAGTTGCCGCGATCGAACTGCTGCTGGTGCTGCTGCCCCGTCAATTGAGCGCTAACAAAGATAAATGGCTGAAGCCGCAAAATTGATTTGGTTGACAGACGAATTGTGGAGTCCGCGCGCTGTGTGCCTTCCCAACCATCAACCATCTCAGCCCCTTGCTGGCATGTCAAAGCTCCTGCAACTGCAACTGCGACTCTGCAACAATAAGTGCAACTCGAACTGCAACAAATAAAATCAAAAGCATATTTTTCAATCATTCATTGAATGAGGGAAAATATTTCGAAATAAAATGGCAAAATGCAAAAGAAGAATAAAGGGGAGTTACAGGCAGCCAATGCCCATTTGCTGGATGAAAAGAGACAGACAGCCCGAGAGAGAGAGAGAGAGAGAGAGAGACAGAGAGCGGGAGAGAGACATTGGAGAATATTGAATGAAGCACTTAAATGCGTTTCGGGCCGCGCTCTCGACACCCACCAAAAGCGACAGTGGCCGGTCGGCCCGTCGGCCCGTCGGCTCTGCCAAATGCAATTACGTATACGCCATGGAGGATGCCACATGCGACCTACTGAAACGGGTTTGGTGGGGTGGTGCTACTGCCAATTGACACTTTGACGCATAAATCAACTTTATTGTTTATTGATTTTTATGTTTGCTCTGGTGTATGTTTTCAGTGTGTCATATTATTAAATCTTTTTTGTCTGTGCCTCCAATCTCGGAACGCTGCTGGGATCCATCTCTCCCTCTGTACCCTCTGCCTCCCTGCCTCCCTCCCCTCTCTCTGTGTGTTCATGCTCCCCTTTGAATGCTCTCCTTCCTTCTGTGTGGATGTTCCACTGGTTATTTATTTGAATTTATGCGTTTTAAATGAAATTGGTTCATTGTTTTCTGATACTGGGCATCACTCAATGCAGTCAATGCCTATGCCGTATATCTCGTATTTGTAGAAAACAAGGGTATATTGGTTTAGCAGGCAGCAGCGTCAGTGAAGTATTAAATAAAGCTGTTCCCCTTTCTTGTCGACTCTTTTGCAGGAGCAATCCAAGGTCTGGTATTTGTTTGTATTTCCATCCTCTTTTTTATCTGTTTTTCTCTTTGCGTGCCTGTGTCTCTGTGTATGTGAACTGCGAGGCTATGGCCATGTTGAACAATTCATAAATCGATTAAAGAATTGGACTTGTTCTTTTTTGTGCATTTGCATGACACTAAATAAGAAGGGAACATGCGTCATACACGAGTGTTTGTGTGTGTGTCTGTGTGCATCAGTAAATGTGAAAGTTTTGTGGCATGTTATTCACCATGAAATCTCAGCATTGGCTTAATATAAAGTTCGATTAGTGGTGTGTATTAGTAATCAGAGATGTTCGGGGAACTATTGAGAAAGGAAGAGCTTCCTGGAGGTTTTCGTGAATCCTGAATGGAGTGTGGATTGTGTGGTCAATGGAACATGAAGGAAATGTTGAATAAACCATAAAGAAACCTCTTCAATGGCCTAATAATAGGAGCCTTATGTTCCTTTATGTTAATTAATTTCCATGCTTTTTTAATTTCTCAATACAATGCTTCCCTATGAAATGCCACATTTTCGCAATGCAATCATAGAATTTCATTAGGCAAAACTTTCACCCCTCTCCCAGCCTGCCCACTCTTTATTTAGTTGATGAAAATCATTCAGTTATTCAATCAAAGTTCAAACCAAAACGAATTCATGGTCCCCTTCAGTACCCGCAGCCGTCACCGGCCAAAAAGTCAACTGGAACCGCTTTTGAAATATAATGGGAATTCCGTAGAAACTTTTACGCAAAGCAAAAGCAACTGTCAATGCCTTTCCCCCCCATAAAACTTTGTCCTGCCGCCAAAGAGCGGGGAATGAACGTCAAGGTGGTGGAGGGTGGCGGATCCATTCTCTAGGATTCGACTTCAATACAAATTAAAATTTAAATGAGCTGCTTCTTCCCGGTACTCCTGCTCCGGCTGCTGCTCCATGTACATATTGACACGTGACAAAAGTTGAGACTGCCAATAAAATAGGAAAACACCAGAAAACAACATGGCTTACAGTGTGCCGGAGTAGGGTAATCCCTAGAGCTACGCCCAAGGCATTGACCTCCTCCCTCCCAAGGAGAAGGCGTAAAATGTTTGAAACAATTTCAATAACCATTTCCTATTGGAACGCGGTTGGTGGGGGCTATGTGGAGTATTTCCTCCAAGCCAATAAAAGATAGAAACCAATCTGCGCGGATGGTGTGTCTGCTGTCTGTCTGTCGGTCTGCCTGCCTGCCTGCCTGCCTTAAAACTGATGAAAAATTTTAAATTTAATTGGAAAAATGCTTCCCAATGAATGAATATTCCCCCTCCCTCCGCCCTTATCCGTACCACACCTCCCCTGCCACCCACGCAAATCGATTTCATTTTGTTTGTTTCAGCTTTCGTTTCATTCGATCGAGCGGCGGGGTAGAATAATTTGAGTTTGAGTTTAAGTTCTATTTGTAAACAGGGCCAGGCCGTGTAATTGAAAATGCCGCAGGACTAAATATTTAATTGTGTTTTTCTATATATATATACACATTCACGCACGATAAATGTATGTACACTCGATGGATGGCAAAAAGGGGAAAACTTTTTCGATTGACTGAAACTATCTGCCCCCAAACTCATTTGCCAACGAAACTTTTGCGATGATGAGGGCGGTGCTTGGCTATGGCTTGGTTTCTCCAGGAACCTCCAGCCAGATGCTGCCTCACCTTCACCCTCCATAGAACATCCTTTGCGCTGCCAATGTGAACTTAGCGCTTCCTTCCTGTCACTGTCACGGCAATGCATCTGTCCAGAGGTCCATTCTGTTAAATCTGCTGTGCTAATATGACACACAGCTACGCAGCTTTTTGTCGTAACCGGAAAGGCCCTCCCCACGCCACTCTGCGTTGCAATTTTCCTGCCGCTACGTTTCGTTCCGTTCCGTTCCGTTCCGATCCGCTCGCATGTTTTGGTTTTAATCTGCGACACAGCATTAACTTTCCAACACCTAAATTGCTTCAGAGTTCGTGCTGCTGCTGCTGCTGCTGCTACTGCAGACCCGAGGCCATGACGATGATGTTGCAACTAGGCGAAGTCCCTTCCTGACTGCCTGACTGCCTGACTGCCGGACTGCCTGCCTGCCACTTTTCTCCTTTGAGCTCTGAGCTGGTAATGCCCACTGACAGGGGCTTAGGGTCCTAGTTCTCTGCCGATGTTCTGGGGGCAACATTTTATGAGCATTTT